AAAAATCCGTGCTTCATTGCGATTACCTAATTTCTTTGTAATTATGAATACACCGTATGCGTCCTGCGATTCACTGCGGACTACGGCATTCAATAATCTGCTGGTTTGGCGAGCCCCTACGAGGTGGCAGCAGCGAGCTCGACTAGCTATAAAAGAGCACGACGACTCACGCAAAGTACCGTCACCGTAAGATTTACGCGATGGGGTCTTCCGCGAAGGCCACCATCTCTGCAGTAGTGGCCCCCGACTGAGCTTTTCTGTTCCGTTCTATCAAGAATTGCACCGACAAGAGAACGTGCTCCGCATGCGCTGAAGGCAAGGAATAAAAATGGCAATTGCAGTGTTTGCCGCCTTTATCTTGCGCTGCATCCGTGTGAATGTACCTTAGCCCCGTTGGAAACAGATTTGGCCGATCATCTGACTCACTCCGCATAAGGTTACCTTCCGCATACTCAGCGAACATTTCCTTTCATATTTCTATTTTGTACGTGACTAACGGTTATGTGAAGATAAAAAAAAAAGGAACGCAAAGCACGTTGGTTCCGCAGCCCGCCCTATCAGAGGCACGGAAGCGACCACACCGCTTTGCCTCCTAACAAATCAATTGAGGCGCTTGAAGTAGAAGTGTAGGTAACGCGTTTTCCGTAATATACGGACTTGTAATGCAACGCACGTACCGGAGCAAACGAGCCGAAATAAAAGATGGAAGAGCCAGTAGAGGCGATATCAACACGGATATCAAGCGGGGGGCTCTAGGCATGCAGGGCACGCACAAGCTCTTAGGAGGCGACGCTCTAAAGATGGTGTGGGGAATGTGAGCGACCGTCGAACCTGCCTCTCATGCTAATGTAGTCACAACATACCTCGTAGATGGAGTAGGCCCGTGACCTTACTTATTGCACGACTGGTGATAGTGATTTGCTGCACACGGTGAATTAACATCTATGTTTGCCGGTAACGATTTCACGAGTGATAATTTTCGCATTGTGTCTGTTTAATGCGAAAGTTGTCTTAAATGTGGCAATTGTATGTTGGTAATTGCAATATCGATGAAAGATGACTACCCTGAATTTGTTTATTTTTCTATCACGTTTTGTCTGCGGAGAGCGTTGACAAATTAAATCTTATTGCATGTTTATTGTAACACATAGGTTTTACGATGTGCCACAAGGTACACACCATTCCACGTAACTGTAGAGGCAACTTTATAGGCAACCACATTGCGGCTCGGGTTTCGCACATGTGTGCAATATGTTCTTGTTAAACTAGCATATCAAGTAGAGCGCTGGTATTGGGCAAAAAATTTATTGTGAAACATAAATATGACTATGGTAACATCATTACCATGAATTTTGTCTGCGAAGACGCACGGTATAGAATTTCTGATCATAGAAGAGCGGCTTAAGCAAAGTGGGGGGAATATTTATTGCAACTTTAAGGGCGATTGGTAATAAGCGAGCATTTTTTTGTGGTGACCTAGAACGGTAAAGCGTTCCTTTTTGTTAGTGTGACAAGCAACGCATTTGTGTACTTTTCGTCGGTAACACCTGCAATCGTGCATATACTATTATTAAAACTTAGTTTCATCGACTGTGGTTGGCCGCTGATGAAAAGACTATGCTGCCAGTGACAGAGTATAAAATGACGATATTGCAAAAGTTAAACTATCATATTTTGTAATGAATAATGCCATAAAATATTTGAAGCGAGTACTTTCCGGAAATTGCCTCGTTGCCTTCTCATATTGTTATGACTAAAGTATAGCCTGTCCGCTTTTTATGCCGGATAAAAGTTAACCAGAAAGCTGAAAAAAAGCGAAAAAAGAGAAGTTAATAAGTGCACACAAAACGTCAGGCGTTGAAATGAGACATGCTTAAAAACAAGGTGCATAGCTTCCAATCAGGAAGCCTTTATCAGTGTGCCATGAACGCCATTGTGTCTCCGCTTTCTTGACTCCTTATATCATGGCTCACAGAAACACCCCCAAGCTTCTCTGTTTCTTTTGGGGATTGCCAAAAATAATTTCTCGTGTTAAGTATTACACAAGCTGGTCAGCTTATTTTCTGGCGTCATATAGCAGCGGATCGAGATAAGTCATCCAACTTAAAACTTGCGGTACCAAATCTCTTTAGGTGCATAATTTCAAGAACCCCTGAGTTTTCAGTTCTCATAAGGACAAATTCATGCTTAGCGGCACGCTGCACTAGGAGTACTGAAAACGTCAGTGACATGAAGACTGTTTCTCGGAAGAATAGTCAGGTTACGTCTATTTCAATTTACCCCACTAGAGGTGGCGTAGTTTCCGCGCCCGTTGACGAAAACAGACCTGTCTAAATAGCTAAGGGAGGTGGCAGACGAGATAGATAGATAGATAGATAGATAGATAGATAGATAGATAGATAGATAGATAGATAGATAGATAGATAGATAGATAGATAGATAGATAGATAGATAGATAGATAGATAGATAGATAGATAGATAGATAGATAGATAGATAGATAGATAGATAGATAGATAGATAGATAGATAGATAGATAGATAGATAGATAGATAGATACGCTCAAAGTCACTGAAGTTCGCTAACAAATTCTTCGCATTTAAAAGTGGTATCCAGTGATCTACAAGCAAGAATTACAATCGCGTTATTTCCACGCAGTATGCATTCTGAGCCCAACGCTCACAGCCTGCGGGCAAGAGTGCAAAATCTACGGCGCCTTATCAATCAGTATTCACCGAACCCTCTCTTGTACTCCGACGCCGCTAGACACCATTCCCACAGTTTTACAGTTGGAGCAGTAGTGAACAAATATCATTACCTTGTAGCCTCAATTAGCGTTTCTAAAAGAAAATATCTGCAGGCTAAAAGTGTGTGGCCACTGCGGCGACTTCCACGCTGCCATAAGCCATCCTCACACAAATGTTATTCAAATTTTTATTTATTCACACGATGCCTGGCGGCTCTTCACACGGGGTATCGCCTTACAGCCCCCACCAAACTTCGAACATCGCATTGTACACACCGCGTAAGTTCCGACAGATCTGGGCCCCTAGACACGCCTCTCTCTCGGGTCATGACAGCGCACATGCAGCTACCGGAGCAGTCACTAACTGGCATCGGAGGAAGAGCTGTGCAACCCAGATGAAGAGGACACAAACACCGAATTGCTAGGATACCGAGACACTCTCGATTGCTGTAGGTGATAACTCATTCGGCCCTCTCTACCGCACCACGCACTCACACAAGAGTATGCAAACGCGGTGGGTCAACGGCAGGCTAACACATTTCCGAACCTCATTTCCTTCACATCTTCCTTCCCAATCCTTACCCTGACAAATTAGCTGGCTGTGGAGCGATCCCGACGTTGTTTCACGTAACACAGGAATATCAGTCTCCGTCTGCCAGGTGCTGTGCCAACAATGCCTCTCCTATTCCACCACGCAAGACTGGGAGAGCATGCTACGTGACTGAAGCCCGAGTGGCCAGCGGGCGCTGGTTCTTCGGGCATGGAACGCGGCAGCGGCTGTTAAAGCTCTGTACTGAGGGACCCACCAATATTTCTCTATATTACCAATACACTGTTTCTCTCTCTCTTCCTGGCTGTAACGTAGCTTTCTCTGGTACCGCATTCAGCCTGGACCACAAAGGTTGGTTTAATATTCATTGATAGTTTTAGTTGTCTTGATGGGGCTGTAAGAATTAGCATCTTTAAGCTGTGTATTTGCAGTGAAACACCAATACAACGTGTTTCAAGAAATGTATTCATTATTCTTTAAAAAAAACCCTGCAAAACGCGCTATTTGCTAGCTGTTTTCACAGTACCTTTTCCGTAGCGGAGGGCATTTTAAAAGGGTTGAAGACATCACTTAGAGCAGTAATTACAAAACATAAATAAATTAATCTTTTATTTACTTAACTTAGGCAGTTTGATCAAGTGGGAGACTTGAAGTCCATCATGCAAAGAACTCATTGCCGCTTTGAGATTTCGGAAAATTGGCGTGTAGTATTAACACCGAAATAAAAGAAGTTCTTCTGAATTCAGCGACAAAACTCAAAGAAAAATGCGAAAGAGCACAACTGTGTTATTCGTCTGAGACGTCTGAAACGAGAGAGCTTTGTTATATCAACCGTGAACCGACTTCGTTGTGTGGGTGTGTGGGCTGCGCTTGCAATTACAGCACGCATGGCGCACATTCTTCAACGAAAGGAGAAGAGCTGCGCACCTGTAACTGCTGATTTGAACAGTGATGTTATTGTAGTCGTTTGGTTTTATAGCTCATCGTTTCGTTCGTTTCGGAATCGTCACAGGATTTCGGAGAATTTCATAAATCGCAGCTATTACTAGAAGGCCGCTTTTAAAAAATCTCAAAGCGCCAATTGGCTCTTCGCATGAAGGACTTCAATTCTCCTGTTTCATTTAACTGCCTAACTCCACGAATCAAAATGTCACTGACCTTCACTTTATAATTACTGTTACAAATTATGTCTTCAACTATATAAAGATACCTGCCACTACAAAAAAATAAACTCTGAAGACAGCGAGGAAATAGCGCCCTTTGCCGAAATTAAAAAAAAATATTTGACAAATTCTTTTAAAACACCCTCTATGCATTGCGCAACCTCTCTAATATTCATGAACAGTTAACAATAAAATGCTTTGCTTAAGATACGTTTTACTTTCGCGTCTTATAAATTTCGATGATGGAGGAATAAAATATGTTTTTTTTTCAATTATCCAAAGTGAGCATGCTCAGTTTGCGAAAACGAGAAATATTTTGCATAATTTACGTAATCTGGACTGAGGAAGTTGGCGCCACTGTTTTTCAGATCATGAGAATTTCATAAATACGGTGTTGTAACAACTGTGCAGCAATGTACGACCAAAAACATGACCCACGTGAATACCTGTCTAGTGAATGTTCTGAACTGATCACACTAAATGTGGATCTCAACTAAAAAGAACCAACCCGTATGACAGTGGAGTGGGGCCAGACACAATCATTCTCAGGGTAAAATTATGGCATTTATTCGCATTCAAAAATGCAAACTTGTACACATGTTCAGCGATGTGTCATTTCATTCTCACTGGTTTCAGCAATGAATCTTGCATAGCGGACACCCTTATCAACACTCATACTCATTGACCTTGATGAAGCAATAATGCAGTGCAGTTACGGCAAAAGTGCTGCTAAACAGTCTCTTCTTCAAATTAGAATATCTTCAACAGTTTTTAAATTTTCAAAACACATTCTAATGGCCTCACGGAATACTTATTCTTGATGTGATTTCTTCGGAGCAGCTGCATTACAGAAGAACGTGGGCTTTTTGTCTTTCTGTGGCAATGACAATAATTGAGGGAAATATTTTGGATGTGTGACAGCTGTGATTCAATTTAGGCATTGCTTACCATGCCCATGCAGATTGGCGGACTCATCTCCAGACACGGCGTAACCATTTTGTTGCCATGCCTTACTTTACAATAACTTATGCGATACTCTCGATACTAGTACACTGAGAACAGCTACAACTAACCCTTGTAACCGTAGCCACCGTAGCCACTGTAGCCGCCATATCCACCGTAACCGCCATATCCCAAAACACTTCCGTAGCCATCCAAGCCACCTCCATAGCCACGAACATATGAGCCATATGCTCCGGCTCCGAGACCAGAGTGTGCGACTAGTGCTCCACCACTGGACAGCCTGTTCACTTGGTGAATGGTTCTGACCAGAAATGCTGGACCGGGTACCGCCTTGTATAGGCCAGGCGCACCCCGAATAAGAGCCACGCTGCTACCGACGCCAACTCCGCCAAGTCCAAGGCCTCCGCCAATTCCAAGGCCACCGCCGTTGCCACCGTATCCTCCGTAGCCACCGTAGCCAAGGCCTCCGTAACCAAGGCCTCCATATCCAAGGCCTCCGTAGCCAACCCCACCAGCCATGGCGATGGCAAGCACAGCAGACAGAATGGTTGCAACAGTCTGCGTACATTTGAACATCAATTTCTCGTTTTGAAAGAAAGGTCAACTACTTGTTCTATATCGAAAACTCTAATAAACAATTTAGTTCCACCCATTGCTTCCACTAATGTTGTGACAAGTGGATGCCACGCTCCATGAAGAGGGTCTTACTTTCGAACATTTTCGTATGGTACTCCTCACCAAATAATGAGCCATGCCAGCTATCTTCTACGTTTTGTATGAGTTATATTTACAAGCATAGTCGCGTGCAGGAAACGACACCGTTTTTACAAACAGAAAATCCGTGCAAAGAAAGACATATTTTTAATATTCTGACCTTTAGCAACAAGGTTTTCGTGGGAAAGGGTGGCATTTCAGGAATAAATCTGTCAGACGACGTAGCTATTACTTTAAACTTGAATAGTATCGCCTTTCACCAATCTCTTTATGCTAAATTTGAATTTTTTCACGCCCTTGTAATTAAGAATTCACGCTGCACTTCATAACGCTTGTAGAATACCTACCGACACAAATATTTCGACGGACAACACTTTTGGCAACGAGAACAAACTACAGAGTAAGCACCTGGTCTTTAAGCTTTGATTATTTCTGTGACAAGAAAACCATTCAACCGTAGAAACATAATAGACAGTACATATACTGATAATGTTGTATATCCTCAACCATGATTGTTTTAGTTTACTGTACCTCATAAAATTTCATTATTATTATGGTTTTTCTTTGTTCTGGGAGTTCACGTAAACTTTATGTTTTTCACTTTGGTGATGACGCCCAGTATTTCTTTGTAATGTATTATATCATCTTTTCCTCCTTGAAGAGTATTAGGCAGCCAAGCATGTTCGTCTTGTGTTAGGGACCTTCTTCTTGCCCCGTTATTTCTCTACATAGACTTGCACCAAATAAACTAAACTTGAAGTTGTATTGAGTCATGTAGATGCTAAAATTACTCTATGGGCGCTAACTGTTGAACCACATTCTCCAAACGAGGAATGGTTCTCATTTGATTAAATTACTCTAATTCAAAACCTGAGACTGCACAAGAAAGCACTGATGCTTGCCCATGTAAAAAGAAAGATATTTAGAAACAAAAATCTGCAAAGTCGTATGCTAAAGCTCTAAACAATTAGTAAATAACAATTGGTAATAATATATTACAATAACTGTAACAAACGTATGCATATTGCCAAAGTTTACCTCTTCGTCATTGCTATTCTACACAAAGATGTAGAATAGCAATGTAGAAAAAGTGTAGAAAAGCCATATTAAGGGCGCTGCGTTGGCACTCACCAGAGCGTTCATGGCGATGGCTGGTTGCATCGGGTGCAGAGCGAGTGATATATCTGCGATTCGACGGAAGCCTCTTATATACTCGGCGCTACGCGATAACCACACGTACCGGACAGCAGGCGTGTTACGTGTAGGCGACTCTATCGACACTGTCACTGCCTCAAGCATCAGAAAAAGCACTAACCATGCACGTACTATGGCAAGTAACGCGTGGGTTTATCCCGCCCTACATTGTGGTCTTCGCAACAAAACGCGGAAGCGAAAACTGCTTTAAAGTGATACCGCACAATTTTGCCTTCGAGTTCGGGATCTCGCTGAGCTTTCCTGGTGAAGAGCCAAGTAGGCACTCACAAAGGTTATTTGTGCCTCTTCTGAGGGTCGTAACACACGGAAGCGGACGAGCACCTAACGTGCACAGGCCGAAAACCAGCGATAGTGCCAGACTAAAGCACGTGCTGACGCACCCCTCTTTCTGCGTAATGAATTGAGAATGATTGTAGCATCTGTGATCAACCTCATGACACAAAAGCTTCATAAGAACACCAAACAATACTTAAGGCGTGCACGAAGCTGTCGCACGTATTAGAACTATTTTGTAATTATTCCTATGGTTCAGAAAAGCATAGAGCTTTTTAAAAAATTACAACGTGGCAGAATTTCAGCAGAAACAAGAAGCACTCATGTGGCACGCTCAAATACCAAGTCAACCAAAATAAACCAATTTGATTAAACGGAAACTAAAAATACATAATTGATCATTTACACCTTCAATGTAAAAGAAGTTAACCTTAAGTCATGCGGTTCATCATAAGTTTGCCCGAAGAGCCTGGAAGGGTAAATCTGTTTACCTTGCTTTTGCTATTTTTCTGTTAATTGTTCTCCGTTAATTGTGTTGAGTAATTGAGCTTCCACTCATTCAAGGATGTTTTTTTTTTACTCTTGACGGGTAGACAAGAGCGGATTCTATTATAATAATACGATTTATTCTGGCATTCAAAACAGTTACACGCCACCGAGATAAGGCAAAACGAAACAGGCAGAACTGTTCTTGACCTAGGCGTACATGCCATATTGTTAACAAAAGAAGGAACGCTGTGAGGAACGCGAGAAACATTGAGAACATGATTCAGTATTACCACTTCAAAAAATTAATGGAACACTGATACAAATTTCCAGCCCACTTCCATAATACAGGTACATTTTTAAAACACCTTCACCTTTATAAGCTATCAAGGAAGGTTACGATTACATCGCGTCCTGTCAGGTTAGTTGTGTGTCATGTAAAGCTAGTTTTGCGTTAGCGAAACATACAAGTGGAACGATCACTAATAAAACGCGTATCATTTCACAGCCTATAAGCAAACAGATATGACATATATGTAACTAATCACTATGCATGAATCGAAACAGAGAAGTGCAATATTTAAAGACAAGAAAACGAACTATAACTGCTGAGACATTCGATATTTTGCTCCAAATATGGAGACATATAATAAATATCACAGCCAAATATCAAAGCTTGTAATTTAGACATCGAATAATAGTGTTATTGGAGGGTATGAAGGCACACAGGCGATTTTGTTGCTTCAAGATATACAGCAATTGTTTCATTTTTCATTCCTGAATTTAGGAAGAACTTCCACTGTTCAGTCGCCCCAGAAGAAGCGATACATAAAAAACTTCTGTTGTACTCTGGCAGGTGGTATGTACATAATGACACTTTGTCCTTATCTTTTTAATGCATTGATTTTAAAGAACTTTTTGCAGCTTATTTATTTATTTATTCAATCATTTATTAGTGCAACCTACATCGCCTAAGTAGGCAACATTGTAGGGGGTGAGGAAAAAAAAGCATTATTACAGTCGAACAAAGCGCTCGTTTGCGCCGTCGAAAATGGCATACATTAGCGCAGCAGCTCCTACGCATTCGCAAAAAGCACACATCCTGTAGTGACGAACAAAAAGCATCGGATGGAAGATCAACAACGCACGCATCCAAATTATTCCTTTCACGAATCATAAAAGGAAAAAAAAAGAATTTGCAAAGCACCAGTACGACAGCTGACCTCGCGGATTTTTTTTTTTTTTTTGAGTGATCATTTCTATGTGAAACGTAGTGTGGGCTCATCATGTATAAATTCTTGTTATTGCGGATTTCAAAACATATTATAGAATGAAAAAACTTTAGTTGCAAAAATTTTCTGCGCTGCTCAATAGGTTTCATTCGAAGTTATTCCTAATGCATATAACACTGGAGTGAAAACTGTAATTATTACTGACAAAACGCACCGCACGATTTTGTATGCGTTCAAGTTTATAGATTAGAGTCCGACCAAGAGGATCCCATAATGTACAGGCGTACTCAAGGGTAGGTCGGACATTCGTAACATACAAAGCCTCTTTCAGACTTTCTGCAGCAGACCTGAAATTACGTATATTAAAGTTTAACACCATTAACCTTGCCAGTTACGTAACATATATGCTTATTATAAGATAAATCAGAATAACCACATCTACGTGGTTATAATAATAATAACTGAAAATTCAGCAGTGCAGAATTTCTTTGTTTTTGTAGTGTAGGATTCTCTGCAAGGTCATGCAATTCGGCTGATGAATGAAAAAAAAAAACCGTGTTCAATAAATACACACATAGAAGTAACGCACACAATTTTATGAAATTTCGAATTGCTTGAGGTTTGATACTACTTGTGTATCTCATTGTGAGCTGAATTGGCAGGTATTCCAGCGCCGGTGCCCCTATGAGCGCCATTTTTTTTTTTGAGCAAGAAATCATCATCTCGTCTATAATTGAAAAGCCTAGAAAGCTGTGAATGAATAGAGTAATAAAATTTTTCTGCTTTGAGCGAGGATTTAATGACCAGCTTCTGCGCTTTTTCGTCCATGTCAAGGTAATGGTGCTTCCATGTTCCTGAGACACTCTTGTCACGTGCTCAATAGCTAAAATGATCAAGAACTTTAAAAATAATTTTTAATAAGCAAAGAGGTGCAATACTGAAACCAACACCCAAGTGGGTGCTCTGTCTGCGAATGACATAATATTTGGTTTCCCGCTCTAGACGATCTCTTTCCCGCTAACTTTCCCGCTCTAGACGATCTCTCTGAACTTGCGACCAACATTCACTGCCATATTATCGATGACTCCGCTGCATATTATTTAGCTGGTTTTCTCATCAAACACTTCCTTCGAAATGCATGTGACGGTTGCAGTTGCCCACAGTTACTGAAAAACGACAGTGAGACGCTTGAGGGTACCCACCAGTATTTGACAATGCTCAAAGCATACCACGTCCCCAGCAAACATTTTGGGAATCTCGCTGTGCCATCAGAAGCAGCTTTTGCATACGTACAACAACTTGAATCTCACTTTCTTGCCATGATTGAGGCCACTGCACATCACCTGAAAGTGTTCGATGTTTTGTATCACCATCTGTCAAGTGTTGGCGATTTTCATTTCTGCTCAGCTGGGTTTCGCGCGAAGTTTCTGAAAATGTTTTGCCGGGTTTGTTTATGTTGGCATGTGTGTTTTGTGAACCTAAACTTCGATAGGGTTAGGTTCCACTCTTCAATCTCAGGCATACAGCTTGACAAGTTCAAAGGTTAGCAATTAGCGGCGGGTTTACACTAAAGTATTCGAGTTGAGCCGAATCCTGCAATAGCTTTGTTATGTTATTGCTTCGTTACAGCAGACTTCATTATGGTCTTATATGCTTATATTCAGTTCAACTGGACTAACCACTCCTTCGTTGCATACATTGTTTTGGTTACCCGCTATGAGAAGTAGGGACACTGTGTATTCGCTCGAAGTGATTTGCATAACCTTAAAAAGAATGTTGGGTATCCTGTCTGTATTTTTGTAGCAAATGCGGGCGAACTGTACACTTTACTGTGGGTCGCTTGGTCACTGTGTATGCTTTATCTCTCCAGCTCAAGTAATATATCGATAACAAAACCGCTTGTTGAAATGTTTTCGAGTGGGTAAGGAACATAGTATGAAGTGGACATGGTTCACGTTATCACGCTTTTCGTATTTTAGCTTCTCATCAACCTCCTCATCTCGCCCATCAAAATTTTCAAAAGAATACCCAAACTTGTAGCGTTTGATGGGGCTGCGGACGCTGCCATTTTATTTTTATATAGCTTGTGAGTGATAACGTACGATGTAGAGCCTTTGTGAAAAATAATGAGCCAAAGTGGTTTCCTTCTGCTGTTTATTAGCCCTGTAATACCGCTCTCGTAGCACCAATTAAGGTCCACAATTCTGGATAAGTGATGACTACAATCTATTTTAGCTCGCAAGCGTCACAGCAACACCCAGACGCAAATCACTTGGGATCTTAAGTTTTTGATGAAGGCGACGCATAAGAAGAGCCACAAGACCTGCCAGTGTTGTAGCATAAAGTTTGTCTTTCACGTAGTGAGCAAGCTGCAAAGCCCTACCTTTCTGAGGACAAGCAGGCATCAAGTCTGCTTTTTTTCATTTTGGGCTAGCTGTTCTTAAGCACAGCCAGCACACTGCACCTTTGCCTTTCTGCTATATTGTGTCGTGTGGTTTCTGTGCACCCTTTTTTCTATGCATTATTTCGGTTAACCCCAGGCGTGATTCGCGACTTCATTGCTGTGTATATGTCACTTCTTCCTTCTTCATCAGCATTGTGCGCTGTGTTTTTGCCATAGATCCTTAGTTACCCACTGGCCCGGTGTGTCATACTTCCCCAGCTTCTCGGCTTCTGCCAACTCTAGCGATGTGTGCGTTGTCTGTGTTCTCTCTGTATTTGTTACAATATTTGTTACAATTTATTTGTAAGGCGAGATGCATTTGTTGTCTACCTTTGTCATATTGTGCTTTTTATATTCTCAGACTCTAACTTGCCTTTGAATAAAACACTGCGGATACTCTGTCTCTTTGACAGATATATACATTGATCACTTGTTCCAAAAGAAAAACACGAGCGCGATGAATAAAAGCGTAGTGAATTATCATTACCTGCATCTCTTTTTATTATAACT